CCATTTGTTTTTCGAGTGCACTGGTCTACCACCACACTGCCTTTTAACACTGATCAGCTGTAGAGCGGCCCTTTGAAGCCCCATGGCAAGAGTTTAAACAGTTTTTTTCTTTCTAGCCGATCAGCTGGGACTCGGGAGGCAGCGAATAGATTGGGGGCGGGGCCAAATAAAAGGTAAGAATAACCGAGGGGCGAGAACAAAGAGAACAGGTTCGGTGATGTCATATCATCACCGCTACCGGCTCAGCCGAACCGGGCCGAACCGGGAGGAAACCACCACTGGTCCTATTGCAGTCATCTGGATTTTGGCAGCCTAGATCAGGTGGCTTTATTATTTACAAACCATAGCATTTATAACAGTAACCTTTTCCGGACTGAGTGCCCAAAGCGTGTGCGCCCCATGCACGCAACACCCCCCCCATGAGCGGCAGAGACCCGACCACCAGCTTACTGGCACATGCACGGTGGAACTGGGTCTGGTGGCTCAGCAGACTAAAAGCATTGTCATTAACACCAGCTGTCTGCAATTACTGTAAGTTCGAATCTCACCAGGCTCAAGATTGACTCAGCCTTCCATCCTTTGTAAGGTAGGTAAATTGAGGACCCAGTTTGTGGGGGCAATAAGCTGACTTTGTATAAATATACAAAAGAATGAAGGCTATTGCTTAACGCATTGTAAGCCGCCCTGAGTCTCCGGAGAAGAGCGGCAAATAAATCATTTTTTTAAAAAAAACTGGGCCTCGGGTGCCTACAGAGAGGGCGCTGCGTGCCACCTGTGGTACGCATGCCATAGGTTCGCCATCACGGGTCTATAACCTTAATATACCATGTCAAAAAACAAATAGGCAAGCCGTTTCATGATACATGGGAATCCAACTGTTGTTGCATTTTACCTTTTGGGGAAAATAAGGAAAAGCAAGCAAACGGTTACCACAACATCAATGATTTTGAGAAAAAGAGAATAAATTACTATTTTGCAATAGTATTTTTAAAAATATTACTTTCCGTCATCATCAATAACAACAGAAAAGCCTTACTTACATCTCCGTCCCTTGGGTGAGAACCTCAGGCTGTTTCTGTGTTCGGGATTGAATCCTAAAGGAGCACTTGGGCTCCTATTTTATCCTCCTGATTGCCTAACCTCAGTTACACATTAGCTGTCCCCTCTGCTCTCTGACTGTGATGGACAGTGTTCTGGGAAATTTGTTTTTCCATGTATTGGCAATTACAGCTTTTTTTTCCCTTCTTTCCCAAGGAGGAGAGCAAACATTGACCCAAGCGGTCATTTCATCAGACTTCTGTCTGCTGTCCAGTCCTAGTCCTTCCACTATTCTATCTCCACTGTAGTAAAGCCTGAGAGCTCATTCTCCAACACAAACAGCTATATTGGGGATCATAGGAAGTTCCATAAACAGTAGTTCCTACAGGACATTTTTTGTAGATTATAAACAGGGAAGGAAACAGAAAAAGACATGAATATGAATGATAGGTTTAAATATTGACAGTAACATATTGATCTTAAATGAAATTGAGAAAACAGTACCGCATCCTTTGAGGTACTATAGTGGAGAAAACTGAGAAGAAACATAGACTTCTTGGTTCTTTTGACCAGGTGCTAACTTTGGATAGAAAATATCCATGTCCAGTTAGTCCTTGACTTACGATCGGTCGTTTAGCCATTTACAGCCATTTGCACTGTCCCCCCAATCACATGACCATGATTGCAATGTTTTGGCAGAAAATAAGTGTTTACTTCTGTTTTTTTTTTTTTTTTTTTTTGGCAAAAATGCTCATAGCAAATAGTGGATGCGCTTAACAATTGCAGCATTCGTTTAATGACCGCTCCAAAAAAGTTTGTAAAATCCAGTCCCAGGCCCAGTCACATGATGACCTGCGCAACCTATGACCGTAATGGGCAGATTACCCATTATACATTACCTGTACACACTTTTCCTCAGCAATTGTTTCCAAGGACAAATTGTTCTCTGAGATGTCTTCAAAGTAGCTTTTGGTCAAACCTTGTTCTCCCTTTCGCCTCTTTTTATAATGTAGTTCCACCCTGTTCCTCCTGGGAATTAGGCATTGTGCCTCTAATTATAGCAAGATTTCGGTCAAAGGAAAGGGAATTCCACCATCATAGAACAATATGAACACTTCACAGACATAGCTGTAATAGCCCATTACAGAAGGAGCTACAGTCAGGTAAAATTTTGAAGGCTGGTTAACTTAAGCTCATTCAGGAATGGTGGAATAAATGGATTTTTGGATTGATTCATCAAAGCTATTTCAAATAAGCACGACATGGAGTGGAAAAAGTGGGTAAAGGAATATTTGACAGAGGAAAACTGCACCTATTAAAATGTTGTGTGCAGAGTTCTTATATTTCACTATTTTACTAGCAAATGGATGGTACTGAGTCACTCTGTTCTACCGCAGGATTGCATTACTGTATAGGCAAGCCAATTGTGACAGGACCTTGCAGCTTTTGAATCATATACCCAACCTTGTTTGCCAATTTGGGTTATTCAGCCACTAACAAAAGAGAAAAAAGAGGTCTGGTTAGAAAAATAAATTACATCACAAATCAGTTTTATTTCTCTATTTAAATAAACCCCCAAATATGGCATAATGTCACAAAATATGGTACTTTACTGAATAAAAATGTTTGAGAGAGTTAAGCCCAGCATCTGGACTTACAAAGAATTAATTTGCACGTAGGTTCGTTTATCCATCACCACTTCCCACTTTGTACAAACTCAAAGTCAATTCATAGATGAAAAGTATTTATTTCTTTTGTTCCTTTGGGAGTGGGATGGTTATAATCCTTCTTCTTAGATGTTACTGCCCCCTTGTGATCATGAATGGGAAATATAGATGTACTGTAAATATATATTGCACCAGTCTTCCAAAATTGGCACCACACTCCTTACTAGCACTGATGATGTTACCTAGTTTGGGTAACAAAATGTCTGCAAGAAAACAAGCAAGCTCAGAGAGCGCCAAGGACCCCTAATTTCTACCCTGAGCAACAAATATTCTCCTTTATGGATACTAATTCCTTAAGCAGTGTTTCAAAGTATTGTGTGGCTTCCAATGTTTTACGAATAGGATTGTCTTACTTTAACATGCTAAGTATTACAAAGAAACCAAATTCCTACTAATTTTCTGGGTGCAAAAACTACTCACTATCATGTTCACAACTCACAGCATGCTGTAGTACTGATATTTCTTCTGCCTTAATGTAGAATAGAATAGAATTTTTATTGACCAAGTGTGTTTGGACACACAAGGAATTTGTCTTGGTGCATATGCTCTCAGTGTACATAAGAGAAAAGATACATTCATCAAGAATCATAAGGTACAACACTTAATGATAGTCATAGGTTACAAATAAGCAATCAGGAAACAATATCAATATAAATCGTAAGGATATGATTTATGTATGTTAATGTATGTAATATATGTTAATCCGGTATCCCACGAAAACTCTTTCTAAATACTCAAAGCTCAAATACTCAAAATGAGACATTTCCCAAACCATAATTCTATTAGAAATCATTTCATTTCTGGTGCAGTAATAATTTGCATGTATTAGCAATTTAAATAAGTTTAGGCCCATGGATTCTTTTAGTTATATAAAGTTCTTATGGAATGATGCCTATGGATTAAAAGCAAGAAAGCAATTATGTAATAACTTTGAAAAATGAACAGATTACAAACAAAAAGCCCTGTAATCCCAAAGAAAACATGGATAGAGCTTTGAAACACAGTTGTATTCAATCCATTGAGTGAATGGGGCCATCTTTCTAATGCTGAAATATCAGTGCTTTCACCATAGTAGGACATGGAGAATCCATTTACATTGTCCAGTTCTCAAATTCCAAGTGCCAGGTATGTAGTTCAAAAAATATTAACCTCTGAGTTTAAAACTGAGTTCCCCATAAAGTCATAAAAAGATATGAATCAGGTATGATACATTCGCCTTTCACCTCAGAAGGAAGACATACAGGACTGGTTGGTCAAACGATGTATGACTAATATTTTACAGGATGCAGTGACATGACTGCAGCTTTGCATATTTTTGTAGGATTACTTTCAAATAGTATCTATTATGATGTTATCAAAACTTATATTGTTATATATTAATTTTTATTTGTTTTATTTATTTATTATTTGTTTGTTTATTTGTTTAAAAAGAGCCTTGGTGGCACAGTGGACTAAAGTGCTGTTAAGTAGCACTTAGCTGCCAGCTGCCTGCAATTACTGCAAGTTTAAATCTCACTAGGCTCAAGGTTGACTCAGCCTTCCATCCTTCCGAGGTAGGTAAAATGAGGACCCGGATTGTGGGGGCAATAAACTGACTTTGTATAAAAAAGAACACCGCTTAGGGGGGGCCCGAAAGCCCTATTAAACAGGTATATACAAAAAGTATGAAGGCTATTGCTTAACGCGTTGTAAGCCGCCCTGAGTCTCCGGAGAAGGGCGGCATATAAATCGAACCAATAAATAAATAAATAAATAAATTTATTTTATTGCATAAGAACAACTGCTAGAGTGCATTAAGATGTTAATGTGAAAAGAATTTGGTTGCATTGTTTCATATGGAAGAAAAAATTTTTTTTTCCTTTTAAAGCAACCCAGTTCAAATGTGTGCCATAATCAGTCCAGAACCATATTTTCTGATGCTGGTGAGCTGTTTCTGCCTATAGCATAGATTCCTCTAGATGTTGGTGCATCTGATAGAAAGCAAAAAGCACATGTATATGTATGCCATGAGATCTTCCTGCTCCACAACATTTTTCAGATTCAGCTATGCAAGACCCCAAGCTTTCCTTTAACATTTAGCCCTTCCCTTCCTGGCGGCAGCAGATTTCTTACTACCTGGTCAGTCCCCAGGTACTTTCTCAATCACCCTCTGTATGACTTATACCAGAGGGCAGGTAACCAGTAGCTGGAGAAGGACATGAAGAAGCCGAACAAGTTTTTTTACTGTTTATTCTCTGGGTGTTGCTTTTTAAACATTGGTGTGCACAATTGTCAAGCTGCCATTTAGGCAAGAAGAAAGATCATTTTCTCCCCTCTAAACTCTTTCCTGCAGGTAAAGATATTCTTGTAAGGGCAATGTGATTCGCTCTCTTTTTTGCTGTCCTTTTGAGGGTAGCCATTTGTAGAATTTGTAGAGTTTCCTCTTTAGCTATTCACTTCCTCCTCTTCTTAGACAGAAGCAGAGCCATGCCTTATACCTACCGGGACCCCAGCGCACGGGCTCCTTCTGTGCCCCAAAATGCTTGTGCCACACACTCCAGTGGCCAAACATACCAGGAGCTGAAGCTTGAATGCCAGCAGAAGGGGACCCTCTTTGAGGATTGTGATTTCCTAGCCAACGACTCTTCCCTGTTCTACAATGAGAAACCACCAATCCCCTTTGTGTGGAAAAGACCAGGGGTAAGTTTAAATCGATAATGCGTTTTCTATGAGCTGAAATTTGTACAAAATCAGACTGAACGTCTCTCCCTCAGGATGATTGTTAAACATGTAATGCATCATGAGTTTCACAAGAAGTGGCTGATGTTTCTTTTTTTTTTCATGTAATTTTATTAAAACGTTTAAAGAAAAAATAAAAAACAAAAAACTAGCAAAAAACTTAATCATCAGAAGAGAGAAGACAGAATAAAGAATGTGCAATAAAATAAAAAAATATAGGAAGAAACAAAGATATGCGAGGGGAAAAATAATGACTTCCAACTTCTTGAACAGCAGATATAGATAAAACTTGAGTTTGACTCTTGTTTTATAATTACAATGTAACCTCCATTTTTTAAAATAATCTATAAATATTACTAGTCATTAAATTCATATGTCATGATTTTTTTTTAGATTTCCCGCGCATAAAAGGGCTTCCAATTGGTATTACATTTAGTCAATATCTTTTCTCCAATCAGAGATATCAGTTTCACCAGCTACATCAAGAGGCTAATGTTTCTTGAACATTAGCTTTGAAATTTGAAATTTGCTATTCTATAGGACTCCTGGGTTTCCCCTTGCCCTTTCTTCCTCTAACCCTCTATTCTGGCTAAACGTACGGTATGTGTCTTATGGAAGATGCCCTACTATTTTGTCTTAGGAACAGACTGACCCACATACGATAAAGTGCAGAATTTGAGCTTTCCTGGCAGTGGTTATGAATTTTGGATGAAAATGGCATTGACTGTATCTGCAAATGCTCAAGAAAGTATCAAGAGGTAGAAAAGAAAAACAGATGCATGAATAAAAGCCAGCCTAATGCATTTGTCACATTTCATTTATTTCTGCTCCATAATTCATTGCCTCTCATTGACTTCTTTGGCTATTGACTGATTTTCACTTAACTGGGGTGCAAACACACCCCACAAAAAGAAAGAATAGAATAGAATGGAATGGAATGGAATGGAATGGAATGAAATGAAATGAAATGAAATGAAATGAAATGGAGTGAAGTGGAATGGAACAGAACGGAACGGAACGGAACAGAACGGAACGGAACGGAACGGAACAGAACAGAACAGAACAGAACAGAACAGAACAGAACATTGTGGGCCAAATTAATTTAATCGGATTTAATACTGGTTTTAAATTTTGTATTTCTTGTGTTATATCTGTTGGCTGTTCACTGCCCTGAGTCCTTCGGGAGAAGGGCAGTATATAAATATAAACAATAAATAAATAAATAAACAGAACAGAACAGAACAGAATAGGTTCATTTGACCAATTTGTCTCTAGTGTAAAAGCTCTGTGTACATGCAAAGCAACGGAGCTAATCATAATAATGATACCAGTAAGAGGGGGTAGTAAAGAAGATGGAAGAAAATATTACTACTACTACTACTACTACTACTACTACTACTACTACTAATAATAATAATAATAATAATAATAATAATAGTACAGCCATACAACATGGGTAAATATGCTTAGACATAAGACAGTGCTGTGAGGATTAGGTGTTCAGCAGACTGATGGCATGAGGAAAAAATAACTGTCCCTGTGTCTAGTTGTTTTGGCATGCAATGCCCTATAGTGGTGTCCTGAGGGAAGGAGTTGAAACAATTTATGCCCAGGATGCGAGGAGGGTCTGTAGATATTTTTTCAGCTTTCCTTCTGACCTGCGCAATATACAGGTCTCCTATGGAAGGCAGGCTGGTTGCAATTGTTTTTTCTGTAGTTCTAACTATCCAATGCAAGAATAATGGAGGAACAAAGTTGTCATGCTACCAATGAGCAAATCTCTTCTCAAGTAATAATGCCCAACTGGCATTTCAAATGTCTGCTGGCTTGCTTAGTGAACAAAAGTACTTTTACACTAGAATCTAGTTTTATTGGGTGCATATTTGGTTGCAGTTAGCCTACCAGCCAACTGTTTCAAGTATCATGCTTTTTGTGGAAGATGTTCCTCCTAAGGTCTGTGAAGAACTTCAAAATGGAAATCCTTCTGAGTCCAAATGCCCACAACCCTGATCTTGGATCAATCCCCAAATCTCTTTGTATTCATTCATTCATTCATTCATTCATTCATTCATTCATTCATTCATTCAATTTCTATAGCCGCCCAGTTCAACCAAGTGATTCTGGGCGGCTTACAATTATAAAATTATAAAACAATTAAAAACAATAAATAGTAAAAAATATCCAGAAAATAAACACAAACATCAACCAAGATAATTAATCAACTAAAAGTAAAGCCAAGTAACAAAGCCTTTACATGTTCTGAGTCCCAGGCCTGGATTCATAGCCAAGTTTTTAAAGCCTTGAGAAAGGGCAGCAGGGCTGGGGCCATTCTAATCTCTGCGGGGGAAATATTCTGTAAGGCAGGGGCTACAGCAGAAAAAGCCCATCTTCTAGATCCTTCCAATTGACACTCTTTGGCTGAAAGGATCTGCAGCATGCCCAGTTTGCTGGATTGAATTAAATCGATAGAGACTCTTGGAAAAAGATGGTTCCTCGGGTAACTTGGCCCTAAGCCATATAGGGCTTTAAAGGTGACAACCAGCACCTTGAATTGTAAATTATATCACAGGAATATTGTGAGGATATAATGGCAATAGAGTCATTCACTCTGAATTCCTTATGCAGATGAATAAAATAACTATTTCTCCAAGAGGCCATTGCAAGTTGTAGAGAACACATGTGAAAAGGTATTTCATTTTTTCCTTCCCATCAGGTACAATTTGGATTCAGAGCACAGTCTTATTCTCCCTATGATTTATAATAAGGGGACGTCTTACCTAAATTGTAACTTTTGAAAAATACATCCTTATAAACCTAATTAACATACCAAAGTGATTTCTTACTCATACACATTCCATGAGTAAATCTATGCTGTGTTCAATAAATAAATTACTTTTGATTCATGGCTTGTAATTCTTCTAGGTACAAAAATTAAAAGCCTTTGAATCACACTTTTAACAACCGTAACCAAAAAAATCTCCAAGAACATTGTATTTGATGTGAGTGTACTGTATTGTTTAAAACTCTATTTATAGAATATTTACTTCCTTATGAATCACTTTGCAGGAGCTGGGCAAAAAAAAAAAAATCACTTGGATTTCTACCATACATTTTAGTTTGTTTCTTGCTTGCCTGCTTGCTTACTTGCTTACTTGCTTACTTACTTACTTACTTACTTACTTACTTACTTACTTACTTACTTACTGGTACTTACTTACTTACTTACTTACTTACTGGTACCTACCATTACTTACTTACTTACTGGTACTTACTGGTACTTACTTACTTACTTACTTACCATTACTTACTTACTTACTTACTTACTTACTTATTTACTGGTATTTACTTACTTACTTACCATTACTTACTTACCATTACTTACTTATTTACTTACTGGTACATACTTACTTAATTACTTATTTATTGGTACTTACTTACTTACTTACTTACTGGTACTTATTTACTTACTTACCATTAACTTACTTACCTTACTTACTTACTTACTTACTGGTACTTATTTACTTACTTACCATTACTTACTTACCGTTACTTACTTATTTACTTACTGGTACTTACTTACTTACTTACTTTATTGGTACTTACTTACTTACTTACTTACTGGTACTTACTTACTTACTTAATTATTGGTACTTACTTACTTATTTACTTACTTACTTACTGGTACTTACTTGCTTACTGACTTACTTATTGGTACTTACTTACTTACTTACTTACTTACTTACTTACTTACTTACTTACTTACTGGTACTTACTTACTGGACTGATATAACTGCCCGACTCATACAGTCTAGTGACTAATGATCCATAAAAGTGTCCCTAAAAACAAAGGTTCCCTTCCTCCACTGCCAGGTGCCAACCAAACAGCCTCCCAGCTCATCCTGCATCCTACCCAGTGGTGGGTTGCCCCCAGTTCAGACTGGTTCGCAAGAACCGGTAGTAAAACTGGCAGGAGGGAGGCTCCGCCCACTGACCCGGGCATCATTATAGGTGATCTGCACATGCGTAGAAGCATGCGCGCACCCACTTCCCATGCAAACTGGTAGTAAAGGTAAGTAGAACCCACCCCTGATCCTACCTCAATGCTTGGGGGGAAAGCCAGGTATTTGTGGCCTTCTGGAAAGCTAAAAGGGTAGGAATCTTTCAGATCTCAGGTTCCAAAGGGCTGGGGCAGCCACTGGGAAGCTACTGTATTTTTTGGAGTATAAGACGCACCTTTCCTCCCCAAAAAAGAGGGTGAAAATATGGGTGGGTCTAATACTCCGAATGTAGCCCCGCCCAGCTTCTCAAACAGAGGTTTCAGAGGCTGAAACAAGCATCAGAAACGAAGCTTCATAAAAGAAGCCCCCAAGCAGAGCTTCAGAAAAGAAGCCCCCAAACTTTTTTTCTGGCTTTTTTTCTGAAGCTCTGTTTCGGAGGCTTTCACAGGCAGAAAAAAAAGCAAAAAAAAAGCAAGGCACAGAGCTCATAACCAAGGAACCTGTTGCTAAAATTCACCTCTGGGAACAGCTGATTGGGGGTATTCTGGGAGGCTGATCCACCTGCCAATCAGCTTTTTTCTTATTTTCTCCCCAAAAAACTAAGGTGTGTCTTATACTCCGGTGCGTCTTATACTCTGGTGCGTCTTATACTCTGAAAAATATGGTATGCTTCCAAGGTTACTTCAGGTGGCAACATTTAAGGGAGGGGACCTTGGGTGCACCCAAGGATGGGCAGATAACCTCAAAGAGAGACAATCTACAAGTAACCTGGTCCTGTGCCATGTAGGACTTTAAAGGTGATAACCATCACTTTGAATTGTGCACCTGGAAAGCAACTGGGAGCCAGTATAGCACATGCAACAGGGACGTTACTTGGGTGAATCATGGGACACCCAAAACTGCACCTGCTATTTCACTCCAACCAATTGCAGCTTCCAGATGGTATTCAAGGGCAGCCCCATG